AAAAAAAAAAAAAAAAAAAAAAAAAAAAAAAGAAAGAAAAAAAAATTCGATTAACTTCGAACGAATATTATTTACTCTCGATTTGAAATTCATCTCAATTCATCTCAAAAAAATTTCGACGATCATCCGATTATCAGAGATTTTCATTTGTATTCTTCGAAACAAGAAACGGAACGTTTCTTCCTCGTTCGCGGATATCTATTAGCAGATGATCTTAATCGTACATTTACATTATCCTCGTATTCTTATCTAAACACGAGCCCTATGCTTAAATCGATAGAATTCGTAATTCCTACGATAAAGGTAAATTTGTAAATTCCTTCTCGCGGATTAGCGTGATTGCATCGTTTCGATTTAGAACCGGCGACGAATCGATCGTTCGCCGATAGAATTCAATTCAGAATTTTGCGAGAAAACGGTGTTGTCTACTGAAAAAGAAAAAAAAAAATAAAAAAAGCAAGAAACAAGCATCGATTAAACAATCACGTTCCCTGGAAACACAGTGTGAGCAGTTATCGTGAGCAACAACGAATCGACATCGCTTTGTCCCTCGTTCACCCCGTACAATTCTCTCCCTCTTCAACAAACAGAAACGAATATCGAACGCGACTGATATTAATGACAATTTATCCTTCCTAAAAAAAAAAAAAAAAAAAAAGACAAATTACGCGTCGATGGAAGAAAAAAAATACCGTCTGTATATCGATCAAGAATCCTCTCGCTGGAAACTGTCGGGAACTCGTCCTCGCGAAATTACAGTGAATTCCGGAGGCCGACCAATCGGATCTGGGCAAACTCCGACCGACCTAATCCCGTGATCAACGATAACACGGAAAGTTTCATACTTTAAACGTTCGAGACGGAAATCGAAATAGTTCCTTTATGTACATACGTTGCCCAGATCCGCGATTCCCGTAATTCTCGATCACGTTTTCTCACTGTACAAACGAGGTCGCGACGAAATCGCTATTTATCGAACGGTCCTTCTTTCTTCTTCTTCTTCTTCTTCTTCTTCTTTTTTTTATATATATATATACAGAGAAACTTACGCTACGTACTCGACATACACGATCTCGGACGGGTCAATTAATCGTCCCGCTCAATCGTCGGATCGTATATAATTACCGATCTCGAGAAGTCCGTTAGACGAGCTGTTCACTAGTATTTCGAAGCCGCTTTTTGATAAACACGCTTTGGACACACTCGTTCATCGATCTTCAGAATCAGTCTCGCATCTCTCGGAATCCTTTAATCGAATTCTTTTTTTTTTTATCCGAGTTTCGCAGAGGTATACAACGAACCTTTTGTATTTTATCTCTCTCTCTCTGTCTCTCTCTCTCTCTCTCTCTCTCTCTCTCTCTCTCTCTCTCTCTCTTCACTCGCGAAGCGAATCACACACCCCCTCCCCCCACACGATGGCCGATGAAAAATTGCTAAAGAAATATAGACGTATGGAATAGTTTATGACGTGGAATGAAAATTTACGGTAAAAACGTACGTGTGCAAAGTCGAGCTCCACTTTCCGTGTCACTGCGTTCACCACCACTGCGTCCAGATCCACTGCACTTTGTTCCAACCCCTAAATCCCTTCTTCTCTCTCCCTGCCCGCCTTCCCCCATTCTTCCCCCATTTAAAACCACCCCCGATGATTTCGCAGCGTTGGCAGCAGCGCTAAGTCACGTTTCTATTCTCGCATTCCGTATGCTTTCCTCTTAAAGGAGAGACGCGGCCTTCTCCCTCGTTCGCGTTTTTTACCTTTGAACGAGAACCACCAACCCCTCCTCCTCCTCCTCCTCCTCCTCCGCCTCCTCCTTCCTTCGGGTACCGGCACCGTCTCACCGGTTCACGAAACGAGCTCGACCAGCCCGTGGCTTCGAAGTCGCACGATTCACAAGCACGATACCGCTCACCTTAGCAG